CTTCGAGTCACAGAATGGCTTCCGAGAAATAAAAGAAGACCGTCAGGAAGCCCGCCGACCCGGTGGGCCGATTCGTTTTCCAAATATTTCAGAGAATGCGGCCCACATTGGATGCAAGTCGCGAAAGATCGGGCGGCATGGAGGAGCTGCGGTCCCCGCTGAGAAGAACCTGTTGCCGATGGACCATCAAAGTATCAAAGTAAAGTAAGTAAGTAAGTATGCACGTTGTTGCATATTGTTATTCATGTAATATGTTTGATGAGATTTCACTCCATTAAGGTCACTTATTTTCTCATGCTCATCGTTTGAAGTTATAGTTACTGCCTGGCAATTGTGCCATCTCGCTGAAATTCATTTCTATCGGACCGCATCCACACAGACGAAGAAATGAATTCGAGCTCATCTACTTGTCTTTACCAAAGGGCATAGCAATCTCATTTTCATCTTGCTCACTTTGCCCAAATCAGGTTATTGACAGACCTCTACTTAAGAAGAAGACACACATTCGCGCTGTATGATGAATTATGATTGTTTCTCGTTTCGTGTAACCACGATGTTTCAAATGTTGGTAAAAGTTTAATTACCCAAGTTTGAGTTTGAGGAGTCCTCTGTGCTGCGGTTAACCCGTGAGCTATCGTTCGTTTCGTGTTCGATCTTGCGGATCGCCTATTTTCCAAGTCCCGTGTGGCCTAGTTTGAGGACCGGCACAGGTATTGTGGGTAGGAATCAGGTGTTTAACACACTAAGTATAGGAGCGGTTCAACCAGAGGGTTCTCGAATAGTTGAAAGTGATCAGTGTTATCGTCGTCCATTTCGGGGTAGCAGGATACCTCGCTAACCCTTTCGAAATGAACAGATTAAATCGAGCAATTACTAAATTTGTGGAGTTGGACACCGCGCAAAAATGTGCCCTTGATGCACGCAAGTAGGTGCTCTCCAACTCAGCGAGTAAACGCATAACCCATGGCTTGCAATACTTTCTCTCCTGCCTCTGATCCTTACTTGATGGCTGCCCAGCAACGCATTGATAATTTCTCTCACAGTAGGCAAAAATCAAGCCTAGTGCGATCAGTCTCGGATTGGCGTAGCAGCTTTGATCGAAAGAATTGAGAGGTAGTCCATTGAGCATTTAGCACTAGTACTTTTCTTCCCCTTGCTATTTTTCCTCATCTGGTACCCGAATTCTTTTTAGGTTTTTTTTTGTAGGTTTTGCTTTATGGCAGGTTCTTGCATGGCACGTTATTAGCGAATGCCTGATTGTGCCCAACAGAGAACGACACCTATTTTTTTCGTGTTCAAAGCCCATGTTGCTCACCTTGTTTTTGCCTATACATATTTTGCCAATACTGCGTAATATCCATGTCCTATTTACCACGTACGTCCGCTCTAATAAATTAAGACTGTAAGGTTGTCCGTTGTTGTCTTCGAATGTGGATGGACCAATCAGCCACCGACCTACCTTCAGACCGTCAGAGATCGCTCGCTTATTGGGACGACTATTCAGAAAACCCTATGTTTCTGTGGACACCGCATCGCAGCCGTATGTCTCCCTGACCCACATGGGCACATCGCTACGCAGCCCGAACGGCCTCTGGCTTTGCCAGAACTCACGTTAACGTCACCGCTATGGAGGTTTGCGTTGAAATCACTCCACCTACGGAAGGAGCCTAGCCGTGCGAGCCATTTCCCAACATCATCTATTAGGCAAGTTCAACAAGAATTCGCAAGTGGCAGCTGTCCTGAACGCTATTATGGTCAACAGCGCGGACCTCTAGTCCAGAAGCATCACTGTCATAGCGGTAGTTGGGACCTTCGCGCTCCGGACGAATTGAGTTGCAGCATTGGTGAGTGATCATTACCCCGATCTTGGCCATACAAGCCTCATTCGGTACAGGAAAAGCCGTCGCAGGCGTCCTTCTAGCTTCTCGGACGTTCTTCAAATTCAAAGAATACGTCATATCGACGTATTACGTTATACGTATGACTCTGCCGTCACTGAAAAAGCGCTGAGCCCCACACACCATATTGCAGGGCCATGTGGGCTGCGAAGGCGCTCTCCCTCCAGAGCCTTTCCGGCCTGCCTCAAAGGAGATGCTGCGAACACTTGGAACGGTTAATATTCGATCATGACATCGCCTTGGAATTGTGGGAAGCTGAACGTAGCGATCTATAGCAGTGACAGATTTTGCCAACTTACAATTTGTGCTTCTCGATATGGGGCTCCTACGAACTACTCATCTTTCTATCAAGAAATGGGAAGGAGAAATGATAGGCTGACAGCAAGACACTCCACAACTTTGATAAAAAGGGAGGAGAGCACTGTGTTAGCCAGGCGATCCCACTGGTACATACATGCACCACTGACCCCCCCCCNCCCCCCCCCCCCCCCCCCCCCCCCCCCCACCCCGTCCCACAAACAGAAACCTGCCAACCATGAAAACTTATGCCTTTGCCGAAAATATAAGTGTATATAGAAATACCCACAACGGAACTTACGCCGAACTGTTCCCTACAAGTGCCGCCCTAGAATATTCATGTATAAGATAATCACGTGCTATATTAGCAACTCGAAAGCATACCAAGCCCTACGTCTCTGCTTTAGTACTTTCGAAAAAAACCGTTTAGGAGGGTGAATAGGAATCAACAAAAACACTGATTGGTGAGTCTCCCTTCCCACAGTCTGCGGTAGACACGTAACCCGTCAACTGCGTGATGGGTGACTCGGTGTTTCTGATGTTTTCCCTGAATCCTTTTGAATAAGCATCTCCCTTTTAAACCCTGCATTGCTGAAGTTTTACTAGTGAACTATGACTGACTACTACCGATCAGGGCAGAGTTCAACAACACCCCCAGTATTGCACTATACACTTCGATTTGGGTGAAGCCAAAGTTGGTAAAAACCAGGGTTTCCCTGCAAACTGATTACGGATGTTTCATCCGTGAATTACAATAATGGCTGGATCTCCAATTGCCCGAAGCATTCAGAGCTTTAGGCTAATCAACCAGTAACGACTCCCAGCAAACCACATCTCTTCGCCTTTTTCATTCCTTTCCTTCCGTTCTATTACATTTGTTTGAGGAGGAAAATGTACATGGGCGAAGGGGGAGGGGGGGTTAAAATAGATAAAAACAATATTCGTTTAGCTAAAAAGCATCTCCATGAATATGCGAAATCGGTTACCCCTCCTTCTATGCGCTCTAGCCGTCAGTGATTCAAAAAGGCGCTGGCCCTCCCCAACAACATTTTCATTTACATTTTCATCTTGGTGAAAATTGAGGTGGGGGTCTCCTAGCTGCTCCCATTACTCCTGAGCCTGACGGTAATTTCCTTGCCCACCGCTGACGGAGGGCGCTTTGCAGGAGACTGCAGATTATAAGAGGGACCCGCCCATCTCTGACTCATAGGCATGTGGCACGTAGGCCTTGTTTCTTCGTCTCACCCCTCTCAGCGAGAGAAATTTCTGTAAACAACAACAACACTGTTCTCCCCTGTTCTACACGTGGATAATGATAGATACCTGAAAGCAATGGAAATCATGGAGCGTTGTTTCGTTGGCCACTTCACTGTTTATGTCTCCCATTCATCGATGAAACTGTGTGGGAGATTTTGTGTCAAGGCATCGCTCGACAGCCCATATCACTCCCAACGTGACTCATTTCATCAATAACAACTCTGCTGACCCGGCATGAACAGTTTTTACTTAGCCGTGTTGAAATCGTCCTGTTTTTCCTAGCGTAACCCCTTTTTGCTAGGGAACTTCACTTTTTTCGGTTCTCCCGAGTAGCGCGAATCGATATCCCTGACTCAAATCTGGCTGAGACCTTCGATTCTGGTTTTCCCCATTGCCATTGACGAAAACCATCTCATTTTCGTTCTAATGTGATCAGCTGTGATCACCTACATTTATCCAATATGCTAATTAATCTCTCAAAACCGAATCTTTTCAGTTCCGTGCCAGGATTGTTGGTTGCTCGCATGAAATTGTGTGAAAAGATATGCTTTGTCTGTTTGGTGGTCTTTGGTTTTCTTCTAGTTTTACTCGGTATTGTGGCTCTCACCGCCATTGAAGGGGTCATCAACAAAGCCGTACTTTCGGTGGGTTTTTTAAGTTCCTTTCCCAATCGCAATGAATGGTTCAGTTTAAAAAAAGTTTCAGAGAGATCATCTGGGTTATGAGAATTTGAATGGTACGAAACGTCTCAATCCTATGACCGAGAAATGGGTTCATCCGGAATATGACATGCAAATACAANTAGTTTTACTCGGTATTGTGGCTCTCACCGCCATTGAAGGGGTCATCAACAAAGCCGTACTTTCGGTGGGTTTCTTAAGTTCCTTTCCCAATCGTATTGAATGGTTCGTTTAAAAAGAAAGTTTCAGAGAGATCACTTGGGTTATGAGAATTTGAATGGTACGAAACGTCTCAATCCTATGACCGAGAAATGGGTTCATCCGGAATATGACATGCAAATACAAATATGGATGATAAATTTGACGAACGCTGCTGACGTTCTTCGTGGTCTCAAACCAAAGATCCAAGAAATAGGGCCATTTACATTCATGTAAGATTTCCGATTTTTTTCCTTAACCATGCATGTTGACATCAGTTTTTCTACAGAGAACGTCAGTATAAATCGCCTTACCAATTCGATAAAAACGACACACGAGTTTTCTATCGAAACAACCGTGTTTATTTTTTCAACGAGTCGCTCTCATGTGGGCATTGTTCCCTCGAACAACGTGTTGTTATTCCAAATGTGGTGTTTCAGGTCGGATTTTCTCACTCAACTGTTGAACAATGTTATATAACGTTTTGAGCTTTAGTTTTTAGAAATTGGTGGACTTCGCACTGGAACAAGGGCCTCCTGCAAAGCTCGCCATCGAAGCGGTTCTAGCAGTCTACAAAAGGGAGACTCCATTTATTGAAGTGGGTTAACATATATCAGAATTTTCAGTGTGAAATGTTGCTGAGTGCTTGTGCCTTCAGGTCAGTGTAAAAGAAGCACTGTACGATGGGTATCAAGATCCACTGCTTGAAGCCGTATGCGGTTATAGTACTTTCCTCAGGAAATTATGTGATGCTGCTAAAATTCCAGAGAGAATTGGATTTTTCTACGGGGTACGAAGTATACCTTATTCGATTCAATGGTGTTTTCAAACGCAAATTTTTTCGCTTTGGTAATCAATTGCACGGTTTTCAGCAAAATAACACTGATGACGGTTTATACGAAGTTTCTACAGGTTTTAATGACGTTTTCGATATTGGCAAGGTATTTCGTGTTCTTTTTTCCTGATCAGTCCAAATTTTGAGCGAAAATGAGACTCACATGCACTTGATCTGAAGAATCTTTTCAATTCCATAGCATAACGTGTACAAACGCTTTGCTCACTTAAACTCTCAAATGTTTTAAGCTGGAACTTCTCTCTTTTCCTGTTTTGTATCTCATTCGACTTTGTCCATACGGCCACCCTCCTTTGTTATTCATGTCCCTTCCTATGTCCATGTCAAAACATTCACCTCAGTTTTCGAGTAGTCGACTAGCAAACGTAGTAATGCTAGTATTTTCTACCAAAGTTTTCTTCTTTCATTTCACTAGGTTTTTACTCGCTTGAAGAATTGCAGGTATTCTCGTTCAACAACATGTCAGTGATGCCGGAATCTGTCTGGGATTCAGCGTATGCCCGGGAAATTCGGGGGACAGATGGACAGCTATTTTCGCCAATGCTAGATGAAGGACCAGGGTTGGAAATATTTGCCGGTCCAATGTGCAGGTACTTAGCTTCCTTCTTCCTGTCTAGCTTGTATAATTTACATGATTTTGTTGCTTTTTTGATTAAGGTCTATTGAAATACAATTCTTACGACGATCCGCTGTCCGAGATATCGCCGCATTCCGCTACGGGCTTCCTGTAAAGATGTTCGACCCAAGTATTCCGCAGAATCGCGGATTTTGCAACAGGAATGGCACTCCCACCTTCTTCAACACGTCCATCCAAATTCGTAAGTACTTATTGTTAGATTAGTAACATCATTTCTTGTGGAATAAGCTTCTGAGGTTATTCAGCTGGATGCTTACCGAAAGGTTTACTTGATATTGGGAGATGCCTACCAGGTACACCGCGAATCTACATTTCAAACCCCCATTTCTTTGGAGCCGCCCCGGAGGTGGGTCGAACATGTTTGAGTCACTATATCCTCTTCATCATCCTCCATTTTTTTCAAAAAAAAAAAAGGTTTCGTTAAATTTTTCAGTGCCTAAGAGCATGCTTGCCATTGAAAGAGTGTTAGTGATGTCACTTGAGATCTGGCCAAAGAGGGCTGCATTCTTTTGATGTAGATATTTCTCTTTATTTCAGGTAATATCCTCTATTCAAGGCATGGACATGCCAAATGAGGAGAACGATCAAACTTTTGTAGATGTAGAACCATTAAGTGGTGTGCCGATACACGCAAAGAGGGTAACACAAATTAATGTTGGAATGTCCAAGGGAAACCTGAAGTAAGTTGGCTTCCAGTATCGTATTTGTGAATCTTCTTGAAATGACCTTTGTAGTGCACTATCGAATATGAATAACATGATCTTCCCGGTTCTATGGATGAACGAAACAGTGTATTTCGACAATGGCACCAGAAATCAGTTGAGCCAACTGATTTCGGCGAAGTGAGTACTTTAACTTTCATGGCGTTGTCATGGTGATCTATTTAGTTTTTCCTTACTACGAAGGTTTAACAAACTTCTCGGAAGGTTATTGCATATTCGTTTGTTAAACCTTTCATCTTTGTAATACGGGCGTTTCATTATTGTTGGAGGATTCTCGATTTAGGTCATCGTAGACCTTTGCAAGTTTCCAATTGCGGCGGAACTACTCATATCTCTATGGGAAGTGAGGTTAGGCGAAATAGCTGCTGGCCCCTTCTGATGGTGTATGCCGCTTACTTCGCTCGCATCCTATTCTGTTCACGCATTCTGCGTGCAGCTTCTGAATTTCGTGGTCAAACAGTCGGCCCTAATCCATTAACAGCTCTTAGTTTCATGGGATCCGAAATATGGAGCTCTCTTAATAGGTTCTGGTTTTACTGGCCCCATTCATTCATGAATTGAAAATGACGTCTGTCCGAAAATGTAGTAACTCAATGAGTGCTGAATAAGTTATCGACTTACGAATTCCGAAATTTCAGGCATTTTGTGCGCGTAGTTGGAGTTACGGTGCTCACCGTGGGTATACTAGTGTGGTTTGCAGTCACGGCTGTTGTTGTCGTACGTACCCTGACGAAGGTGAGGTCACAAGTTGTTAATTTCTGACCTGCATTTAGAACCAGATCCTATTGAGAACCACCAAAGTTTCAACTATCGTTTACTTTAGCCTCGCGACGATGATGATCAACCTATACTCCATGAAGATGTTGTCGAAGAAGAAGTTGGCGATATCTAGATTATATATTTTTATTTTGCTTACATTTCACTTTTGTACATAGCACTAGCATAATTTTGTGATATTGTCTTACAGCATTCAGCATTCTCAACAAGTGATATGTATAAAGCTAAGTGTTCTCGATTTGTAGTGGCGTAAGTGCTTAGAAACCGGGCGAGCGCCCTTCGCTTCGAAATAAATGTCAGTAATGCTTAGATTTTATCAGCATTTCTAAGCTCGACCCTACGCTCTACCTTCGAATCTCAGCTATCAGTTTATTAACGATGGGATGTTCTAAACGGAAATTTTTGATTTGTCACAACCCGCAGCTTAACAAACACTTATAGCAAAGCCCTTGAGAAGCCTCAGAGTTGAAATGAAAGGTAGTAGGTAATTTATTGGCTTGCGAATGTTCGCACAAAAGTAGAGTGGTATGAATAATATGAGCTGATGTATTTGCACTATACATATTTATGAATAATGAGAGGAGTAAGAAAGATGGTTTCAGTGGTTTCGCGGTACCAGGAGCGATACTACTTTCAGTTCTGTGAAGGTCATCCAACTTGAATGGCTTCGAGGATCGATACTGAAGGATAAAGTCTTCACCGTTAATCAGTCCCGCATCCCATTGTTAATCGTTGTGGCGGCTTGAATACGTGCATGGGCTATACGTCTACTTGTAGTGACTACCGATGTGCATGTTGGTGCTCTTATCCTTTTAGACGGGTCGGCACCCAATTAACCGACCCCCGGATGATGGGAGACTTAGTTGGCCTGAGCGAGTATCGAGCCGGCATTCGGAACCTGAATCAGTATGTGTGGTAGTGCGGGTGTTCTGTGACTTACGCTCATTGACGTGGAGAAGTGCATACACTGTTATCCATGTCTCCGACACGTGATAGAACGCAGGAAAAACTGTGGAATCGGAAGAGGGTTCGCGAAGTTGCGGATCAGTCAGATGATGGGTGCCTTCTTCCATAGGTGCACACTGCTTTCTGCCGTCTTATCCGTTCTTCCGTCATGTCGTTGTACATGTTCGTGGAACGCTCGAAATAAACGTAAGGTGGGGTCTATTGATCGGTGTGTCATCGATTTTAGCTTGACCTTCGCCAATCCGAGCATTTTTCATAAACTGTCTTTATTTGGTTGCACTTCCGCCCTACCTTCTTTCCTGCTTCGATGAGTCCTGCAGGCATGGTATCAGCTTCCGCAACGCTGCTTGGAAATAGAACAGTGCCGTCTATGAAGGCTCCTCCTCTTGGCGACAAGTGCTGGCAGAGTCGCATTTGTTTCGACACTGTCAAAAGTTTTTTCATATTCAATAAAGGTAAGGTCAAGGGGCATTCGGAATTCCCACTACACTTCGATGAACATTGTGACCGCTTGGAAATGATTCGAACAGCTCAATTCCTTCCAAAATCAACTCTGTTCAGAAAGTTGAGCTTCATCGAGCGTTTTCGAAATGCAGATCAGACTCATCTCTAAAAACAACTTGGTAAGAACACTCTACAAGTTTAGTGGGCGGTAGTTGCAAAGGTTAGCCCGATTTCTTTTCTCGTGAATAGAAACGATCCGCAAGTTCCTCCTTTGATTGGGTATACTCTTCTTCCGGAAGGTACCACGTGCGTTGCGAGAAGCGCATGATGCTCATCTCCACTTGCACAAAGTAGTTCGGCTGAGACCTTGTCTGAGCCCGGAATAGTGTCCCTTTTTATGCAGTCGCAACTCTTACCTCCGAAAGAAGGGTCTGAGCTGCTCTGACCCCAGTGGGGGGGAGGGGGACTCTGGATCGCGCACGTATGTCGTGGATCGGCACAAGTTATTGTAAAACTTCTGTGTAGCTTCCTTCATCTGAAGTTTAATATTGTAAGAGTTCCGTCCTCCTTCAAACATGAAAGTGAAATTCTGTGGTGTCGAATCCCGTTGGCATTTATTCCAGACTAGTCTGTTCAAGGCTGCCTCTAACAGTCTTCTATCCCCGTATAGCTTAAGGTGCGCACTGCTTGTCTGCTGCTGATATTTGCTTGCAACCTTTCAGGATGTACATGCTGGTCAAGCCTTAAGCTCCATCTTGTCCTGACTAAATCACTCGTCGCATCTGAAATGCGAGTGGAGGTATCCATTCGAGGGAACTTGTCCTGTTCACCACAGGTGAGGAGACCCGATTGAAGAGTCGTATTATGGTCGAGCCATTTATGACCTGACTGTTATATCGGGACAGAACGACACTCAAAACGTCTCCGTTTTGTACAGCATGTTTCGAGCTCTTTGGCGATGTAAGAGGTTTTTCCAGCTTGTGACTGTCTTAGCGCGGAGTCGATGATCAGAGTCGCTATAGAAGATGATATCACACCAACGTCCAATAGGCGCCACTTTTTGTTCGTTAAAAGTTGGTGTAGTTCAGCATAGATTTACCATCTGGAGACTCCTAGTCCAGCGGCAACGCTCCTTCTTCTGAAGAAAAGTATTGCTATGAAAGAGTCGAGTCGCCGACAGAACTCCCACCAGACGGGTTCCCTTAGGTTTCGAGAGGACAGGGCATCGTGAGAACCGACGAGATGGCGCATGATAAAATACTGAAATTTGAAAAAAAGAAACAGAATTATCGTTATCACATAGGTCGAGATGTTAAAGCAGGATACGCCTACAAGCCGCGTACACCGACCGTTTCACCCCCCAACTGTATTGAGGTGATTGGCCATCGGGAAGGAGAGCTTCCGACAAAGAAATTTCGCGCATCCTTATCGTTCCCTTTTTTAGAATCGAGCTCAGGAAAACAACGCGAGTGACGTGAAGAGGTGGCTAGTCTACCCGAAATGAGAAAAAATTCGAATATTCCGTAACAGGCCAAAGGTTCGAAGGCAAACTTGACGACACAGTTCACAATGAAATTAGACTGCGACAACTTCAAGATGAACCTCTGACCCCAAGGATACCACTAGGAATGCATTTTGGTCGAAAAATGGCCTTGATAAAGCGTTCTTCCATGAAACCTTTGCCGTCACATTCTGGTCCAACCCCTGATTTTACTACTTTTTTGAAGCCTTATATTTCTATGGATGCGCCAATTTCTGCGTTTTCTTCGTCACTATTGCACTGTTCTGGACTGTGTACAACTTTCATTGAAATTACGCCTTGAACCAGATGCCTCAAAATTATCATGAAGTGGGCCTTCAAGAAAGTTTCCCTTCAGGTAACCCTTTCCTCCGAAATTGTGCGCTTTTCCATTCTATTTGTTGTCATCATAAACCTTTCACGAGGTTTTTTATAATCAACCACACGGACGCTTCTTTGTGATGTAACAGTATATCGCCCGCTGAGGCACAACCGAGCCCTAGAAGCACGTACAAGCTTGCTGCGGACTCGAACTCGAACTATCTGGTCCAGGCGACGTTTCATGGTTGGCGCTCTTATAATATGAAGGTACCAGAGCTTCTTACATAGGAAATCCGTGAAACGCTTACTCAGTGTTAGCGCCCGAATAGAGAAGATCAATTCGCCTCGCCGTATCACCTGTATCACCTGTCGTCCCGTTAACCAACGATTTCTTCGAGCGGACGCGAGTAACGTCTCCGTTTGCCCCTGTCGCGAAACAATGTCTGCTAGTGGACCCTTCTCAAGGGACGCCACTCAGTCAGTGCAATTCTCCTAAGGGTTTCCTTTTCATTTCGTAAAGAAAGTCTGACCATAGCGATCTGACCTTCGTCTTGATATGCTGTTGACGTCCCGATACACCCAGTCAGTACCCCCCGGGGCCATCTCAGACGTGTCCGGCTCCGGCCCACTAGATCACCGATTCCTTTGCGTCAGCAATGGCGCCTCCGAGCTTTGGTTTTCATGGAGCTCGTAACTCCTAATTCGGCTCAGCTCCGGAGGTGGGTTGTTCTTCTCGACGAAGATACACGTAGCTAAAGTATTCAGAGGTATTTGTTCCGGTCTATACAAAAGGAGCCGATGCCAATCTGCTTCTTCGTTAGGTTCAATGCAGGCCGATCATCTCATGAGCGTTGTCGAATTCGGCCAGCAGTCGTTCCGCTTGCTGTACCTTCACTCCCATGCTTTCCATTCCAAATGACGCATGACGTTTTCGATAGCGGCACAGAAGAGTTCGTGCGATATGGTATCGCCCTGTCTAACACCTCCCTTCACGTTGACTGTGACTTCTTTGTAGATTGGCGAAGTCTTAAAGTCCTAACTATAAAGCTGTTGTAGAGCCCACGAGGCATCCCTTTGTATGGAGTAGGAACGCCCCGGCTGCCCAATCCTTCAATTACTGCTTCCGTTCTGACAGTATCAAAAGCGTTTTGCAAATCAATGAAAGTCAGACGTAACGGGTCCTGTATCTTTACGATGCTTCAATGAATCTTGTAACAATATGGACGTGGTGATCGATTGTAATGACTCCTCTCCGAAAACCTGGCTTGCTTGCATGGCTGTCCTTCACCTGATATTCTGCCAATCTTGTTAAGGATGACTTGTGTGACGAGTTTATAGATTACAGACAGCAGGCAAATTGGCCGATAATTGCCGATGTCGTTTGGATCTCCTTCTTATATAGCAACACGGTCTTGCTAGATTTCCACGAAGTGGGCACTTAGCATTCCGAGAGGTACCGCGTGAAAAGCCGGGCCAGGATTTTGACGATGACCAGCTTAAGGCTGTTTAGATATCCTAGTTTAGTTCTATCAGGACCGGGGTACAATTCTTGATTGTCCTGATGACATGTCGAATTTTGGAAGGGAAAACTTAATGAACGGCATAGTTTCGATGTAATTATGACAAAATGCTACGCTGAAGGGCTTTGCGGGCAAACGATGACAGGTTGATAGAAGTTATGCCTCGATCTTAAGGTGCCCTACAAACAGTCTGAACCTAGCCCGACAGGTACTGGTTCCTTACATAGGGTGGCATAGGATGACTTAAAAATGGTTGGTTTTGATCGCGAACAAGCACTATTTACATTCGTAAGGCACTATTCAGTATAGCTGACACTTAATCCTTTACGATTCACAGTTGGTCAATTCCCGACGGCACAAGACGGATTTCAAAGCCCTGTGAATGTGTTTTTTAGTAACGAGCACACACTCAAGCACCTCCAAATACTCGCCTCACCACGCCACGCCAACAAAAGGTCACAATGAGTGAGGCCCACGGAATTCGTGATGGGTACAGGGGGGAGTACTGTATCACACGCTCACAGGACGTTAAATTCTGACATCTCCCGACGGTCATCCTCCTTCTCTGCGCCTTAGCTCCAAGTGTGTTGGCAAATAGCGGTGTCCCGTCACCCCCCCCCCCCCCCCCCCCCCCCCCCCCCCCCCCCCCCCCCCC